TGAATACATGCCCCAAAATTTGAGAAGAAAGTGGAAAAGAAAGGATTGTGGCATCGTCATTTTCCCTAGTGGGTGTTGTCACTTTCTTTCTCTATGTGTCTCCAGTGAGTGCACACTCCTGATTGCAAAAATATCTCTCTCTCAAAAAATAAAAGGATATATAAATATCTAGTACTAATGGTTCATGTAATATTTTTAATGCCCAAGTAGACGAGTTTATTAAAAGTCTGTTTAAAATGAACAGGATAGGGATCAAATAACATCTGGAAGAAAACTTTTTTCCTCTGAGTCATCAAACATTGGAATGAATCAGGTGTTTATATCACAGAGAATATATATCATCTCATATAAAAATGGATTTTAATTTCTTCAGACAATGCAAATTTTGTTAAATGCATTGAAATCCTATGGGTTAGAAAAATGTCTGCCCATATAAAATTTCTTCTCTCTCTCTCTCTCTCTTTTTTAACTCACCAGAGGGCACACATGCTCACCAGACAGAGAGAGAAAGGAAGGGATGAAAAGCATTCCCCCATGGGGAGGAATGGCCACACTGCAATTCCTTCTCCTCCACCTCTCCCTCATTTTGAGATTTTGAGCAGGTGAGCATACGCACACATGTGCCTATCATGTTTTCAAGTTGCCATAAACTGCATGGTCAGTCATGTGAGTTCCAGCTCCCTTAACCACCAGACTGCATGCTTGCCCCATCTACAACATTTTCTACTTTCTCATAATTAATCCGTTGTTTATGTGATGTCTATTAGCAGGAATTTTCGTTGTTGTTATTTTAAGGAACAGGAGACATGGTATTGGCCCTTTGGAAGCTTTCTGTGGAGAACTGAGTTGGTGTTTGGATATTTGATAATTTTAGAGTGAATATTATCTTTTCCTGATAGTTAACTAAAGAAATTCTTGAATCTTCTTGAGGCAGTTATACCTTTATTCTTTCTTTCTTCCTTTCTTTTGTTATTTCATTCTTTCTTAATTTTTAAACTTTATTTAATCAGAGAGGGACACACACAGAGAGAGAGAGAAAGTGAGAAAGCAAGCTGCCAGGTCTGGGACTTGAACCATGGTGAGCCATGTGGGAGTCCAACACCCTTAACCACCACACCACCTGCTAGCCCCACTTTTCTTAATATTATTCAAAGTTTAAAAATATTTACTTAATGCTTTTTTTTTTTTTGGCCAGAACTGTCATCTTCCAGTTATTA